CACAAAGATAGGTATTAAAAATTTGTGATCCATTCATCCACTGACACACAGGTTGTTTCCAAGCTTTCACTTTTGTGAGTGATACTGCAAAGAACATGAGTATTTTTGTCTTTAGGTGATGGTATTTTTATGTTTCAGCCTACATATCCCAAAGTGAGATTGCTACATCATGTGTAATTCTGTAACCAGTGTTTGGAGGTGCTTCTGTACTGGATTATGTAATGGTTGTACCAGTCCAGTTTCCTGATAACAATACATCAGAATCTTACCCTTAAATATTTTGTCTTTAACATTCTTAGACATGGATTTGTTTCTATTTCTATGGAACTGCAAAGGATCTTTCTATGATTTATTCTACCACTGTACAAAACTCGTTTATTATGTCTAATGTGTATGTATGTGAGTTATATGTGTACTAGGTAGAGTTTACAGGGTTTTCTCTGTAGATGATATATTATCATTAAAGAGAGACAATTACACTTCATTCTGTATGTGGAATGTGGACAATATGGACAGAAAATGTCCGCTGTTCCTTTCTCGCACTGGATGGTCACTGTCTGAAGACTGCTCCACTGCAGACACTGCTCCTACTGAGAGTATCTAAACCTGCCTCTGTGTTGAGCTGTAATACTTTGCCTTGGTTAGAAAACTTCCAGAGGGGCCTCAGGCAGGCCCCCACAGCAAATCCAGTTCAGAACATTCCTGCAGTCATAAAAGAAACCCCTACTCAGAGCAATTAAATAACCAAATGCCTATTGGAATAAACCAGGCTACTCAGGGTGATTGAACAGCTGAGATAGAGAGAACAGAAAATTCAGGAGAAACCATAAAGAAAAAATTTTGGCAAACTTCTATTAATGAACAAAGACCAAAATTAACAATAAGAATAAATGATGTTTTGTTTTCTGTTCTGGAAAACACAGGTGCTGACGTGACCATAATTGCACCAGAATTTTGGCATCCAACTTGACCTCTTCAGGAGGTAAACATTCAGCTGTTAGGAATTGGAACATCATCTCAAGTGAAACAGAGTGCAAGATGGCTTGAATATATAGGTCTAGAAGGACAGAGAGGAAAATTAAAACCATATATGGCTAACATAATTATGAACCTGTGGGGTTGAGACCTGTTAAAACAATGGAATACTCAAATTAACATCCCTCCAACCTCAGAAACAAATCATAAATTAACACATGTTTCTGAGAGAAATATTAGAATGTATTATTCTAATGAGTGGTCACTAGCAATCCAGATTGTACAAGAACATGGCCCAACAACTGATGATCTTCCAAAGACACCAACAGCACTATCTTTAAAAAGGTTAACAGACAAGTCTGTATGGGTCCAGCAATGGCCTTTAACAACAGAGAAACTCCAGACTTTAGAAGAGCTGGTAGAAGAACAGTTAAATGCTCCGTATATTGAAGAATCAACCAGCCCTTGGAATTCTCCTGTATTTGTTATAAAAAAAATCTGGTAAGTGGAGAATGGTAACAGACCTTAGAGCAATTAACAAAGAAATTCAGCCAATGGACTCTCTACATTCTGGAATTCCTTTGCCTACTCTATTACCAAAAGGATGGCACCCTATAGTTATCAATTTAAAAGACTGTTTCTTTTCAATACCCTTACAAGAAAAAGACAGAGAAAGATTTGCCTTCACAGTGCCTATTTACAATAATCAACTGGTTAAGAGATATCAATGGAAGGTATTCCCACAGGGAATGTTGAACAGCCCAAGCCTGCACCAATACTTTGTACAACAGCCATTGGAAGTGATATGTAAAAAAATTCCTAAATGCAAAATTTATCATTATATGGATGATATTTTACTAGCTGACTCAAATGCAGATACTTTAGAAAGAATGTTTGAAGGAGTAAAGAAAATTTTGCCTTGCTGGGGATTACAAATTGCTCCTGAAAAGATACAAAGAGGAGATTCTATTAATTATTTAGGATATAAAATAG